CCAGCACCAGTCCATTTATATTTGGCTTTGCCCCAATTATGCTCAAGTTGTCCAGGACATTTGAAATGGTTTGAAAAGGTTGACCAAGCTGTCAAAATATTTGTGTCTGTCCAGGACATGCCTGCTTAACCAAACCAACTTTGAGCTAATAGTTTAAATTGGTTTAAGAAATGTCAATATGAAGATAATGAATAGGAAAGTCTATTGAAGATGATCCTGAATGACAGTTCTGAGCCTAAGTGTACGCAGTTACAATTCTGTGTCAGTGGTACAGCTGCATACACTTAAAATTCTCACATACACTTTCAAGTTGATATCAGACTCATGTTTTTTTCTCATGGATAACTGTGCTTGATAACATAGCATCTCGGTTCTGATGATATCACCAACACTCTTGTTTCCTGCTATCTGTAAAATATATGTTCAGGGTTACTTTAATTTAAAGAGCTTTTCTATGGAGTTATTCCATTGTTGTAATAAATCATTACATATAACAGAAGTATCACATACCACAATATTCAGGGATTTAGAAAAAGGGCTGTTTAAAGATGTCTGATAATAATTTCTCATATTGTCTTTCATTTGCATCACTGGCAGCTGTTGCATGGGTAGATTGTTTTTCTTTTTTTGTGGCATATAACACATGCCAAGGGTTGTGATTTTTATGGACTGACAAGCATGGGTGACTTCAATGGAAGCTTGAAGTTCAGCTGATCTTGAAGTGATGTGTTTGGCTGGTTCAGTTGTGTCTGTTTGTTTGCTTATTTTGTTCTGACTGTCCTCCTCATCCTGAAAACGCTTCTGTTGGATAGAAAGGTAAGATTAGTGCTTCATTTAAAATTACCTGTAAAACTTAATATTTTTGGTACAGATGAAAAGCCCCCATATGGAGAGTTTTGGAGGTCTTGCATTGTAAAAACTTTATTCAGGTATATAAGTTGAAGAGACCAACGCGCGTAGATAGAGGGAAATGGACACCGCCATCTTGTAGAGTGGAAGAAATACAGTGGGATAGAACATAAATTAAGCTGCAGTGGCCTCATGGTCACCGCAAAGTGACCACAAGGCTCAAATTGTAAGTCCTGCAACTTACTTACCTTGCCAGGAATAACAAAACACTGACTGCTTAATGCGATGTCTGAAGTAGTTTCTGTATTACTATGTGCTTGTCAAAATATTTGGCTAATTATCAGAGGCTGCTTTTACAGTCTTTTAATAATGTTATACTTCATTTGCGTATTTTAAGATTTGTCTATACCCTTACTTAGAATCGTCTGCATCAAGTGTTTCACACTTCCTTTCATCAGCCGCCAGGTTAGACAGTTCAGAGCCGGTCATTTCAAGGTAGATCACTGATGAGAATTGTTGTATTTGCTATGTTGTGTTGATTCGGGGTTATTTTTAAGACTTAAACAGTGGCAAGGAAGAATAATTAGACTTAAGTAACCATCCCAGTTTAATATCTGGGCCCATCAAGAGCTCCAAATGCTGAAAAAATTATTAAAATCCAGACAGTTAAAAGATGGGGCAGAACCCCCATTAACCCTCCTATTGGGCAGTGCCCAAAGAGTACGCATAGTCACAGCAACTTAAATTGGGTAAATTTGGAAATGCAACCGTACAGGCTATTTTGCACAAATAAAATAATTTTCCGATAGCTTTCGTCGTGTTTCGAACAAATCTAGCACTCATTTCCTTCACAAATGAAGCACAGTTACGATATCGGTCCCGATAGTAGTGGAGGGCAAGATACATATTAGGGTACTGGACTTCCACTGGAAGAAAACTGTGATCTCACAGATATTGCAAACATGCTTCGTTATTGCGATGATATTTTGCGAGAAAGTCAAAATAATTGTTCTCACAAGCTGTGCACTGTGTAGCCATGATTAAATTGATTTGAATTTCAACTGCTTTCTCCTAGGCCCAGCTTCTATTGTCACGTAATGATCTATTTCATATCTGATTGGTTCTATTGAATGTCTATGGTCACGTCACGTTCACAAACGAATCTAAGTGGCTTATTTGATTTCCCGCGCATACGTCTTCCGCTTCAAATCCTTCCATCCTGTTATATTAGGCTGGTTTATTGGTCAATACGTTTTTTTGGGGGTTTGGAACATGTCAATTCCTGTAGAATTTTGCTGAAAGGTGGGTTGGGTGACCCGAGTTTTTGAATTCTGGCGTGTCAGTTCGTAGAATTTCAAAGATGTTATCTAGATAATTTTCTATATTACGTCCGCATAACCGATATCGACGATTTTGGTATCGTTGGATTCCTCTCACTCTTTACAATGCAAATATGTAGGTTTTGTTGCGCGGAAACCCCGTTAGCGACAAACTTGGCCCCAATTCCGTGGGCGACGATGTCTGAGCGGCGGACGTAATATATAAAATTACCCTAATAATATAACCTCACAGTGAAAATAATCATGGTTATTCACATGACTTTCCATTGCAGGGGGCTGTGCCCCATGCGACCCCCCTGGGGGGGCTGCCGCCCCCCAACCCCCGCCTTGGAAACAAAATCTCCACCACGTATTCACGGCAGGATAGAGCGCACATGAACTCGATGCGAAGTGGATAACCTACAATAACCTAGGATTTTTAAGTTACTAACTTGATTGATTAATGCCGCTAATTAGTAAGGAGGGTGCTCCTTTGCCACAGAATGTGAAGGAGGCAGGGTGCGTCCTGGCTGCCCACACCTACCGCAGGCTTTCTCCCGACGGAGAAGGCCGTGGCGGAAGCACATCTCTAGCATTATTTCCTGGCTAGTTGCAATTTCGCGCAGAAAATCCGTCTCCGAATACGAGCACCCTCCACACTCGGCCATCGCGGCGGCTATGGCTGACTTCTGAATGCGACGGTTATTTCATTTAGGAATACGGATGTCGTTATTCCAGAGGACGGGAAACTCGACCTTGAGGCCATCGGTGTAACATCGAAAGAGGCGCAAAACCCACCAAAGAGGGCGGGCCACCCTGTTCATCCTGATTATATTACAATCGTCTCTATATACAATGTTGACTATACTAAGGTTAATATGCTGATTCAGTGGGAATGTTACGAGGTAATTGTAATAATACCCCTGCCGCTCTGACATCAACGATGATTGTGTAATGCTCTAGCCTGCCGGGAATACGTGGTGGAGGTTTTGTTTCCTCAGCGGGGGTTGGGGGGCAGCAGCCCCCTGCAATGGAAAGTTATGTGAATAACCATAGTTATTTTCACTGTGCATTATATTATTAGTGCTATTTAAACCCACATTTTCCCTGGAACCTTCCATGCCCTCCCCTGCTATTGGGGTCAAGTTTGTCGCTAACGGGGGGTTTCCGCGCAATAAAAACTATATATTTGGAAAGTGGAGAGTGAGAGGAATCCAACGGTACCAAAAACGTCAATATCGGTTATGCGGACGTAATATAGAAAATTACCTGTGTCTATTTTCGTAGATTTTCATTGGCAGTTTTTTTTTTTTTTTTTTTTTTTTTTTGGTGCTAGCTTTAAGCATTTTTGATAATTATTTGTATTTAAGCCTTTTACCCCATATTTCCCTGATATATTTCAAGCACTCCTCCAGCTTACTAACAGAACTATCAAATCAAGATTGCTGATGAAGAAATGGTACTCAATCTCCTGAACAATTAATTCGTAGAAGAAACAACACCGAGAATCAACGAAATCATTGGATTTCCTGCAGAAAAACATTTTTTTTTTTTTTTTACTTAGTCTCTGAGACGATGTGTTGCTCTATGTATTAAATACCTCTATCCAAGACTACTAAACCTGTTAATGCAAAGGAGAGGTCGAAGAATCCTTCAATCCCAGTTTAGCTGGTTTATAAGTTGGATCCAAGATATTACCCTGTACATTTATATACCGTTGTTGCAAGCACTACTCACCTTTATATTCGTCGGAACGATGTCGTAAATGGAGACCCTGGGACCCTTGGGGCTGTCCATGGCGCTGCTGGCGAAGGACAGCCGCTTCTTCGCTATTGTCTTGTCGTCTCCTTGCTTTAGGATCGATTTTCGACTCTCGCCTTTCGTGTCCATGGTTCAGCTTTATAAATATTTGTTCAGGGAGAGAGGGCCGATGCTTGTCACTCAGGGAATATTGTCTTTTCCACACTTCCCTTTGCTGAGGTCTTCGATTTGTTTGAATTGCGTTGACGATTAAACCGACAAGGGTTTGTTTACAAGTGGCGCCGGCGCGATGGTTCCTTTCGGAGCCGGCGCTTCGGGGAAATAAGTTTCTGTTCCATTTTTCTGTTTTGTAATGGTAATAACAATAGCAGTAATGATGAGGATACTTATTGTAATAATATTAATAACAAGGATTACATTAAAGGTAATGATAATGTTTTTTCGGTATTGAATCTCAGTGGGATGTATGTATATTAACGTATGTATATATGCATATATGTGTACCTGTGTATATCTATATAGGTATAATGTATAATGTAAATCTGTATACGTATCCACATTATGGAAATGGGTGTCTCTGTGTGTAAATATATGTATATATATGTAAATATGTGTATATGTAAATATATTTATACACGCCGCACGCACGCGCGCGCGCACACGCGCGCACACACACGCACACGCACACGCACACGCACACGCCAGGAACATATATATATATATATATATATATATATATATATATATATATATTAATATTTTTATCAAGAAATCCCAATAGATATTGGGGTTGTGTAATGTGTAACTTGTTATTTTTACCTAACTTGTCTCTTTTCTTTTAGAAAAAAAGAAATTAGGAAGCATAATTTACAGCAATGGTCATAATCTTTTGTAATCCTACATTTTCATCAGTTCAAAGTGTTTACTCCAAAATTCTAAATTGTTATTCATTGTTATCTTCCAAATTGGAAGTATTAAATATCCAAAGCAATTGGAAGACTATGTGATATGTAGTTAAAGGACAAAGAGTATAAGAAAGTAAACCTCACCAATTTCAACCTCATTTCCCAGGAAGCAACAAAGCCTGAAGTTCGTGCTGAAAGGCCCTGGATCATATTGTTCGGCCACCGTCCCATGTACTGCTCCAACAATGACCACGATGACTGCACCAGAGTCAATTGTCTCACCAGAGTTGGTCTACCACTCGTGAATTTGTAAGTTGGATGTTTTATTTTTTATGTGTAATTGCTTTTTT